ACATATGTAATATGCAGTAAATCCTCGCATGTTAAGGTATGAACATTTTAACAGAAGTATTGCTTGAAATGTAAATCAGACCCCAACGTACTCGTGCCTGTGACTTCTGGGATAATCCTGTTCCGCTTCTTTACAAGTCTGCGGTTGCTAAGAATAGGTCGCCGAAGCCATATATTTGAGATGCCCCCTCCCCCCTCTCTCCCCCTCTCTCCTCTCTTCCCTCTATGCCCTCCCCTCTGGCTCTTTCTTCTCCCCCTCCTCCCCTCTCTCCTCTACCCTTCTTCCCCCCTCCCCTCTTCCCTTCTCCTCTCCCCCTCCTCTCTCTCTCTCCTGTTCCCTCTCTCTCCCCCCTCTCCCCTCTCCCCTCTTCCCCTACCTCTCTCACCCCCTATTTACCCCCTCTCTCCCCCCCCCTCCCCTCTTATTCCCTCGCCGGCAGTCCAGTCGGTCGCCAGCAGCTCGCGATGTTTCCCGGGCCGTGAGAGAACGCCCACGCCCACCGCCGTTGAGAGGCTCCTTGGCCGCCCACCGTGGATATTGTTATTCGGTCAGGGGGTGAGAGAGACGTGGCGGGAATAAGGGCGTCGAGTGCCACGTCGTGTTGTGCTGCGGTCGTGTTCCGTGGGCGCCGGGAGAGGAACGCGAGTAAGGAGTTTCTCGGGCGTTGGGATCCGTTGTTTTTCTCTTCCTCTTCCTCCTCCTCTTCATCCATTTCCTCCACCTTCTCCTTCCTCCTCCTCTTCTTCATTCTCTTCCTCCTCCTCCTTCTCCTTCTCCTCTTTTTCCTTCTCTTCTATCTTTACCTCTACCACCATAATCTTCCAACTAGGTCTCGTCAGTCCTCCTCCCTCCCTCCCTCCCTCACACACACACACACACACACACACACACACACACACACACACACACACACACACACACACACACACACACACACACACACACACACACACACACACACACACACACACACACACACACACACACACACACACACACACACACACACACACACACACACACACACACACACACACACACACACACACACACACACACACACACACACACACACACACACACACACACACACACACACACACACACACACACACACACACACACACACACACACACACACACACACACACACACACACACACACACACACACACACACACACACACACACACACACACACACACACACACACACACACACACACACACACACACACACACACACACACACACACACACACACACACACACACACACACACACACACACACACACACACACACACACACACACACACACACACACACACACACACACACACACACACACACACACACACACACACACACACACACACACACACACACACACACACACACACACACACACACACACACACACACACACACACACACACACACACACACACACACACACACACACACACACACACACACACACACACACACACACACACACACACACACACACACACACACACACACACACACACACACACACACACACACACACACACACACACACACACACACACACACACACACACACACACACACACACACACACACACACACACACACACACACACACACACACACACACACACACACACACACACACACACACACACACACACACACACACACACACACACACACACACACACACACACACACACACACACACACACACACACACACACACACACACACACACACACACACACACACACACACACACACACACACACACACACACACACACACACACACACACACACACACACACACACACACACACACACACACACACACACACACACACACACACACACACACACACACACACACACACACACACACACACACACACACACACACACACACACACACACACACACACACACACACACACACACACACACACACACACACACACACACACACACACACACACACACACACACACACACACACACACACACACACACACACACACACACACACACACACACACACACACACACACACACACACACACACACACACACACACACACACACACACACACACACACACACACACACACACACACACACACACACACACACACACACACACACACACACACACACACACACACACACACACACACACACACACACACACACACACACACACACACACACACACACACACACACACACACACACACACACACACACACACACACACACACACACACACACACACACACACACACACACACACACACACACACACACACACACACACACACACACACACACACACACACACACACACACACACACACACACACACACACACACACACACACACACACACACACACACACACACACACACACACACACACACACACACACACACACACACACACACACACACACACACACACACACACACACACACACACACACACACACACACACACACACACACACACACACACACACACACACACACACACACACACACACACACACACACACACACACACACACACACACACACACACACACACACACACACACACACACACACACACACACACACACACACACACACACACACACACACACACACACACACACACACACACACACACACACACACACACACACACACACACACACACACACACACACACACACACACACACACACACACACACACACACACACACACACACACACACACACACACACACACACACACACACACACACACACACACACACACACACACACACACACACACACACACACACACACACACACACTCCCTCCCTCCCTCCCTCCCCCCCTCCCCAACCCAACGCGTTTTCCAGACTCACGCAATTGCAAGGAAAGCACTTGACTTACTTTCTCCAAGATTGATGCTGGGTTTTCTTGCGTGTCCCCTTTGGTCCGCATCGCTACGTCCGTCGGAATGTGCGGACGGCGGGCGGACAGTTAGCCGGAAGTGGCTGTTTGTGGTTGTTTGTGCGTATGCGAGTTGTTTGGTGGTGTTTATAGTTTGGGGGTGGTAGGCTGGTAGCGCTAGTTGGGGGGGAAGGGGCGTGGGAGTCGAGTAGAGAAGTATTTTGGTCTGTAGATTTTGGGAAAATATACAGATAGATAGATACTTTTTTTTTTTTTTTTTTACTTGGTGTGTCGAATTATAGTGGATTGATTTTTTTTATGGGGGTGAATTAGTTTCGCGTTGTTCTTGTTTTCTTTTTTATTATTACTATTAGACGCGTGGTAATTGAATTTGCCGTTGCTATTGTTGCTGAATGGTATTTCAGTTGTTGCTTATAATGGTCTCGCAATTATTTTTGCTGTCAATGTGCTTTCGCTACATTTCGTTGTAACAATATTCGATTATTGTCGATAATTAGTAATTGCCTTTGCTGTCATCGTACGGTTATAATAGCATGATGTATGGTTATAATTCGATCACAGGCGATAATGACCATAGCATTAGATACGACATAATTGATACTTCAGTTACTAAGCGCACAGTTACGTCCAGTTATACGATGTTTTATTATTTTTAACGGTTCCTTGAAGTAATTGCGTTCTTTCCCGTACATTACGCGTTGCTATTTTCGAACCTGTCGTAATGCAACTATTTTCGAACCTGTCGTAATGCAACTATTTTCGAACCTGTGATAACGTTACTGTTTTCGAACCTTTGATAACGTTAGAATTTTCGAACTCTTTGATAATGCTGTTGTTTACTATACGTGTTCCTGCTGTTGCAATGATTAAGAAGCATAAGATAAACGTCTTTTTTTCTGTGTACGTGTTGAGGTATTGCTTTTCCTGATCTCGGCTTCTGTGGAGATGAAAGCCGCTTTTTGGTGCTCTGTGGCTTGGAGGAAGAATGCATGACGGTCATGCAGATAGAAAGTGTGGATGGGATTGATAGATATGTCGGTGGATGGATGGATGTGAGTGGGTCGATGGATAGACGGATGGGTGGGTCGATATGTAGGTGGATGGATGGATAGACGCACAGTTATTGCATAAGACTTGTACGTCAAGACATTCAGTAGATGGGCCTGTGTGAAAAGATATTTAATACATATACTATCGTCCTTGTAGACCTTCTAAGGATATTGATATTTACAGCATAGTTCTTGTGATCTCTTTTGTCGATTGCTACACAGCTCACGTAAGACACAGGTATTACACGTACTCACTTTTTTTTTGTACTTTGCCCGAAGGTCATGGTTGAAACAGGAAGCGCTTATTATAGCAGAAAGGGTGACCACTGCCGGGAGTGTTTAGTCGTCATTAATAACTAGAGTGGTTGCAAAAAAAAATGTAGAATGAGATTGCACGCAACACATACGGGAAGTACAATTATGTGTGTGTTTGGGTTTGGGGGGGAGGTGTGTGTGTGTGTTTGTTAGTTTGGGTTTGGGAGGTGCGTGCGTGTTTGTCTCTTAGTTTGGTTCAGTTGACATGTATCTTTGAAGTTTGGTTCAGTTGACATGTATCTTTGAAGTCCGCAATACAAAAAATGTGGATATATACACATATATACATATACACAAAGAACATGTGATCACACCTATTACCCTTGGAACCAAACCGCCGTGGCCTCGCACTGTATGGAGGAGCATGAATATTGCATCTGTTCACCATGATTACAACAGGAGACTCAGTATGCATTACGGTTATCGGAGCCAAGGCTTTGTAGCGTGGCGATTCAGAATGGGAAAAAAGGGGACAAGAAATTGTTCTTTTTATGAGGTGGAATTATATATTATAAGTGAATAATCGTAATTATAATCTCTCTCTCTCTCTCTCTCTCTCTCTCTCTCTCTCTCTCTCTCATTCTCTCTCTCATTATTTATATATATATTTTTTTTTTTTTTTTCGATTTTGAGAAAGTTGTATCAACCGCACCCTTTCCCCTCCCCGCAGGATGCAGAAGGAGTCTGTGATCGAGAGGGAGATCCGCCTCGCCAGAGAGAGAGAGGAGGCGTACCGCAGGGAGAAGGGCCTCACCAACGCCCCCGTCAGCGCCGCCCCCAGCCGCCCCGCCACACAGCCCGCCGTCGCACGCCCATCCCCGGTCGTGACAGATTGCCGCAGGGGCGTCCAGCGCCTCGCCACCAACAGGATCCAGCAAGAGATCCAGGAGACGAGCCAGAAGGAGAAGGAGCTCAGGGATGCTGGCAAGATCTTGACCATGTCCGAGGAGACAGTCGATGCCAAGGTGAGGCGCGGGTCTTGGATTTTCGGAATTTTGTGTTTTTTTTTCTTCTTCTTTTCTTCTTTTTTGTGGGCTTTTTATTCATGTGGGTTTTGAGAGTGCGTTTATAGTTTCTATATGGAGAAGAAAACTTTGAAACATGTCATATGACTCTGAAATATCTTATTTTTTTCCTTCCGAGTAATATGACGTGGTTTGGTTTTGGTTTCGAAAGCTAACACGTGGATTTGGTGAGAAATATATTTTATTCGAAAGGCCAGTCAAAGCTAGAAGGAAAAAGTTTACAAAGAGTGAACCGATAATTCCAAAAGTTGACGTCACGGTAAGGAACAGTCAAAGGACACGAGACAGTAGAGCAAAAGCAATTGTTATGCCTTTTTTTAATGCTTGTATGCTTGGCCTTTCTAGTGTAAAGGGACGTTCTCTATTGTCCAGAGTTAGTTTTTTTTATGGTAGCTGGTAAATTATTCAATTACGATCAAAGCCAGTTTTCGGGCTAAAATGTTGTTGTTTTATTGTTGTGTAATGTTTTGTTTCGAGTGTTGCGCTAATATGTTACGTTATTTTGGTATATATTGTTTTCTTCCTGAGCTTGGGGAGTCCTTTAGGATAACCCGAGCTTGAGCCACTAATAGAGCTCTTGCTTGAACTACATACTAAGTAATTGTGTAGCTTGTATAGTCGTGTACTGCCAGATTTTAGCAGTGCCCTTAGCCTTATATAAAGTGATACCTTGTATTACGTAGAGGACCTTACTTCTCCTTCACGCTGCCTCCGTAAGGAGCTCGAGCCTAAGCCTCCCCTTCCTCCTGCCAGGTGACCCGTATGTCAGACTTCACGGAGGCGAGCGAGAGCCCCCGCCTCCGCCCCTCCTCCTCCAGCAGACCTGCAGGCTTCAGCACGCCCGTGACGAAGCGCAGCCCCTCCCCCCGCAGCCCCTCCTCCCCCGTGCCCAACTTCACCCCCTCCCCCGCCAGGGGCCTGACCAAGAGCCTCTCCACCACCAACCTGGCCAGCCCCACCGCCGCCGCCACCATGCGGGCGCCGAAGGGCCTCATGCAGAAGTTCATCGCCTCCCGCGGCAAGATGACCGCCTCGGCCTTCTCCTCCCCTCCCCCCGCCCTCACCCACGTGGCATCCACATCCCGGGGCGTCCCCACCAGACCCATGAGAGTGGAACCAAAGGTACAGCCTCCGCTTGGCGTTCGTTACTTGGCAGAAGGCGCGGCCGACGGCGCTCTGCGTCGTGGCGTGTCTTCCCTCTTCGGAGGCTGTGTTGCCAAGTGGACGCCAGGGGTTTGGACGTCACTTGTCAACTGTGATCTTTTTTCTAGACTAGATTTTACATCATCTAAAGACTGTCAAGATATAAATCCCATACTCGTTAAAGTGAATTTTCACATTACTTAATAAAGAATCAAATAATTAATCCAGATCCTTTCTCACATTACTCAATAAAGACTCCAGTAATTAATCCAGATCCATTTTCACATTACTCAGTAAAAAATCCAGATCCATTTTCACATGATGTAAAATACCCCCTTATCTCCGCGAAAGCCCTGCTAACTTTTCCCCGTGGCTTCCAGACTGCAGTTGTACAGAGGGAGACGCTCGCACGGATGAGGACAGAGCCAGCAGACACCGTGGATGAACCCCTTAGACAGCAGAATAACCAGGTTTATCGCCGGACTCACTGCACAGCGGAGGAGAAGATCCAGTCAGAGCTGAGAGAAATGCAGATGAGAGAAGAGGAATTGAGGTAAGGGAACATTCGTAGACTATAAAGCTTGCAGTAAACTATACAGTTATATTAAATGGCGGAGGATTTTTTTTTGCGTATTTCTGCGACTTGTCTTGAACTTGAGAGGATTTTTTTTTTCTTTTCTTTTCATTTCATTACGTCCAATTAAATATGTGAAAGAACGCAGTTGACGAACATTATCTACCCCGAAACATTCTGGCATGCTGCATTATTTTATCAATCTTATACCCATTTTTTTCTTTTCTTTTCTTGCCATCACTAAACCGCTAAACTCCTTTTTTTTCCACAGGCGTCTAAGGGCCCGCCAACTCGCACAGTCCCAGCCCAACCTCGCGGGTCTCGGAGCTGACGACCACGAGGACACTGACCTTCAGGACCACATGTACACGCACGAGGTCAATGGTCTTCGTTCGGTCCTCTCCAATCCTAATCTTCTGGAGGACGAGCCAGAGCAGACACAGGTTAGTATGGGAGGACTGGAGGAGAAAAGGTGGGAGGGGGAGGAGGAGAAAAGGTGGGAGGGGTGGAGGAGAAAAGGTGGGAGGGGGAGGAGGAGAAAAGGTGGGAGGAGGAGGAGAAAAGGTGGGAGGGGGGAGGAGAAGTGGATAGGAAATGCAGGGTGTTAAGGAAAATAAGGTACGAGATGATATATCTGGAATGTAAATGATGGTGTAAAGGTAAATAAATGTAAGGCATGAGATGAAAAGTGTGGAATATAAGTGAAATAGGAAATCTTGGATGTAAGGGCAAGGGATAATAACGCAAGGGTTTAGATTGAGATTATACGAGATACAACACAAAAATCATAAAGATAAGAAAAAGGGAAAGGGAAAAAATGTAGTGATTACTTTGAAATATATGTATATTAAGAAACAATTTGTGCATGAAATAACGTGCATGAAAAATCATTAAATTTGGTAAACGTCTGTAGTTATTTTTATACATTTATTTTTACCACAAAATCTCTTATAACATGTCTTTTATATACTGTAGCGTTTCTGTTTGAATTGACCAAACTTGAGAATAATCAATGCAAATATTTCGCATTCGTGGCGCCAATCAGCTTGTGGATGCCAATGGCGACCATATTATTTGGGTGTAAAAGGTGAGGGTTCCTTAGCGTTAGTCAGTTGTTTTGGGAATTGTCCAATGTTGCGCTCATTGTACTGTAGATGCTGCTGATACTACGTCATTGTATTTGACATGTAGAAGGGTTGAGTTGAAAGGGTATTAATACTGTATGCATTTGACTGTGTATTTTGGTAATGTAGAACCGTACGTATCATTCAGAATTATTATTATTATAATTATCATTATCATTAATTTATATTCTATATTTTGTGTATATAAATATTTATTTATTTATTTATTTATTATTTTTTAAGTGTATTCTACAGTAATGTTTTGTTAATCTTAGCGTTTGCTTTGGTAATATAGGATTGTATGTAACCCTTATGACGGCACATTTTTATATTCAAATTATTTTATTTTGTGGAAACTGTAACTGTAATGAAGTACAAGTAAGAGTGATTTTATAATTAGGTAATCTGTATTTAGATGTCATTTACTGAACAAGAGATGTGCATACTGGTTATTTTGATATTATATGTTTTAATACACAGACCCAGGATAACCATACACCAGAATAGACTAATTTTCTATCACAACTTTTTCTTACCCTCCTGGCGACAGTCAGATTGTCCACATAGCTCTTCTAATTAGGTAAAAAAGAAAGAAACTTTTTGTTTATTTACGAACTTTTTTTTTTCTCCACAGGCCTCGGACAAGATGGTGAGGAGGCGCAGCGCCCTGATTGCCCAGTGGGAGAACCGAATCCAGCAGACCAGTGACACCTGAGCCCACCTCCCAGGTGTGTGGACTGTTCAAAGGGGGGCCAAGTTTGTTAGTCTGATTGGTGTGTGGGTGGGGGGTGGGGGGGTTTATGGGTGTGAGTGTGTGCGTGTCTGTCTATCTGTCTTTCTTTGTGGTAGCGTACTTGTAAAATGTAAATATGTAATATGTAAAATGATACAAGTTTTATTTGTCATGACCTAATATTCATTACGTGTTGAATCGTTAAACAAAACGTTGATGATTAATTTTCTCCGTCTCTCTTTGCAGAAAGCATTTGGTGCTTGTCTCAGCAAGTTAAGCCATATGCAGACAGCCGGCCAGCTTGTCCTTGGCAGCCATAAGAGCAGCCAATTCAGCACTACATAGCTTATTTGACTCCTTATCGTACATTTGTCAGAAAGGCCTAACCTTGCTGTTGAATTCCTAAGATATTTAGGCCTTGATATATATACATATATATATTTTTATTTAATTGCTGCCAGGGTAGTAAATTGTTATATAGTACATACAAACTGTTAAGCATGTTGCTCGGCTGCTGTGGCCATTCTTGTGATTATAGTGTGATATAGTATTCTTTAATGTATAAGTAAACTGCTTTCTACTATGATAACCTCAGCTAGCAGGGGGGGTGGGAAAGGGTGATTAATTAGATAGGTATCAAGACCCAGTCATGGTACAGGAGCGCGTGCCACCCACTGTAATTTCTTGGCTTCTGTGAAGGATACATACATCCCAGATTACAGTGCTTCCTATTAAATAAAACTGTAATTATTTACCGTACATGGCATAAGTGTGCTTTCTAGTTGTGGACATGAGCCACAGGTAGAATAATAATTTATGTGACAGGACTAGGGAGCCTTTCTAGTGTTTTTTGTACATATGTAGAATATGCAATATGTTATATTTAGTACTTAATCCTATAGAAGCATATACGTTATGCTGATTGAGCTGCATAATTTAATTGTTGAATAATAACCCTTTGTATGTTATTTTAGGAATAACGTAGATTAAGGTGGACATATTACCTTATGGCGAGTCTGCAGGCAGGATGATCATGTGGCTGCCTTAAGCCTAGCTGTATCTCTTTGCACAAATAAAAGCTTATAACTAAAGACGTTGTTTGTTTATTCCTACGGGAGGGAAGAAAACTTTGGTTACCGTTTTCTGTTTAAGATCATAGTTTTTTGATGGTTTACAAGAGTACTTTACCGATGCATGCATTGGTTTACAGTTTACAAGGTTTATAAATTAACCTAAGTACATTGTTTGTGCACGAGGTGCCTACTTTTTTAAAGGAAGTAGCGCTGCCTATCCTGATGTAATGACATGTATGAAACTCGGTAGTAAATAATGATTCTACAATGCAATACATTTAAATTGACGCCAAAACAACTACTACAGAATTAAACACACGGACGCACAAGCTCATGTATACACAGTAAACTATCTTGCGACAACAATTATTATATGATGCCTTACAGAAATATACACATCATGCAACATGATCTTTCTGAATGTATGAATCATAAAATGTGGGCCATGGAGCAATGATAAATCCAAAAATATCATCATATGACTTGCAAATTTTACAAGCGACGCTTATCTATAGTGAGACAGATCAATTGAAAAACCTATACATAATCGGTGAATGAGGATAGCATGAGATTACATTATACCGTAAAAGATTTATATTAAAAAGAAGAAACGGCCATGCAAAAACAACGGGATGCGATGAAAATATATATATTCTAGACAACATTTAAAAAATAATCATGATAAGGATAATCACAGAGTCGAAACGATTTTTAAATAATCCATGAAGAGTGTCTAGATCTGCTTGTGTAATAAGGGGTTACTGAACTGCACATAACAATGAGATTTACTAATAACAAGAATTAATTACGACTGCACCGCAATAACTACGAAATAGGTTGGAAAGAAAGACATCAGTTTCGAAATTCACCTGAATTACACCTTCAGGCAGTGTTAAGGGACGATATATAACGAGCAGAGTGGAAAATATATATGAATTCTACTATTTTGCACTGCCCTGCTTTGTTTGGCTTCGGTTAGACTCTTTCAAGTTTTTCGCTTAAGGTTCTGCTGATAGGATTTCCTGGGTTTAGACAGTGAGTGAGTGTGAATGACAACCGCTCTTGTAATACATACCAGATATTTCTTTCTCTTTTTTATGAATGGTGAATTAGGGGACTAATTTACAAATAATGTGAATGAGAACATTAATTTTAAGAACATATAAGAGAATACTATTTGGCCTTAAACTATTTACATGATAAAAAAAGAGACCATATATAAGAAGTAAGATGTCAGCTCAGAAGTACAACTCTTTATCTCTGATATGACTGGAGTTTCCCGTAGTCCGCATCCTGTTTGTCGATTGGTGAAAACACAATAAAATCTATACGTTAAAAGTTATAAAAAACAGCAACATTTATAAGATTTAATATAGCGTAAATATGATATTGGTATATAAGAAAAAAAAACTTCCGTAGACAGGGAAATGCAGATAAAATGAGGTACTTAGAGATGTACTTCAGTGACCGGATATGTGTCCTGTATAGATGCCGTTGTTTGTTAAGGTATTTTGTCTGAGTGTCTAGTAAGCGTGAAGTCTTTGTCTGTGTGAGGCCAAATGCTAAGGCTCTGTATTACGTTCGCAGAAGATTGTGACGGAACAAAAGTGATTGAATTAAATGAAGAGTTTACATATTTCTCGGACAAATATATGTAGCGAAAATGGTATTAGGGAGGGTATGGGTACCGTATTTATTTCTTATCGTGACCAAGGTGACAGGTAAGATTAAAGCGTTTTGATAATTTTATAATATAATTCAGATCAGATCGTACGAATTATCTTTCTATATCCGAAGCTATCACATAAAATGAAGTATTTGCATTTGTTCTGCAATTATGAAATTTGTAATTCCCTCATGAAAACAGACAATTATATCTCACCAAGCAATCTAGCTGAAAACTACAACCCACTTTCACACAGACATTGGCCTACAACAAAGACTTTATTTTATCTACTTATCTCACCCTCATCCTAGCATGGAACTCGAACAACCTTCCGCAACCACAGTCCAGTGCATGCTTGGCCCAGGAAGTGAACGAAATCGAGGACGTGAAGTTATGCGACCCCGACAACACTCTACCATACCCTCATAGTCCGTATCTCCCTTTCCTTGTGTGTTTTGTGTGTGGTGTAGGCCTATTTGAGGTATTTCTAAGGGCACGCTGAAATAAGCGGGGGAAATCGGACTACTTTATAGATGAATTAGAGTTCAGGGATCCCTCTAAAATAAATTGATGTAAACAAAATAGAGGTTTGCACCCTTCACTAACTACCCTTGTTTGGCAAATAATAAGGGGGGGAAAATTGTCCACTTTATCGACTAATTAGATACTTCACTCTGTAACAATCATTCGTTACGCCCCTGTTTATTTTACTTATATTTATCCATATGTTATCTATATATCATTCACATAACATCCTATTAAAGTGTAGCGAAAAAACACAAACACAGAAAGCCAGTTTCAAAACGGCGAATGAAATAAACTAAAAGCATTACTGCATATACATTCGTTTTCATCCGAATATATCTCATTCTTCGTTGCAAGCAGGGCATTTCAAGTAGATAATTTGGTTGAATATTTCAGAAATCATGACTGCAGAACTCCTGACGATGTGTGAAGATGACGGACCGGAGGGAGTAGCAGTGTTTTTATTGTTGGTTGATACAGTTCGCTCCAGTGGTAAGGTTCTGCACTTATAGCTTGGCCGAAATTAATTACGCTATCAAGGGGACCTGTTGATGGGTACTGTAGTTATAGTAGAATGTCCTGAATATTGTGTTATGATAAATACGCATATGTATGTGCGTTTGTACATTGGGGATATATTTATGAGTGTGCCTGTATGCATGTGTATATATGTGTGTGTGTGTGTGTGTGTGTGTGTGTGTGTGTGTGTGTGTGTGTGTGTGTGTGTGTGTGTGTGTGTGTGTGTGTGTGTGTGTGTGCGTGCGTGCGTGCGTGCGTGCGTGCGTGCGTGTGTGTGTATGTGTGTTTTCCGAAGTCCCACTGATGCATTTAGCCTGCAAAACCACTTTTCACTTAAACAACAGATTTCTACGTACAGAAAAATGCTGATTGCTCTTTGCTGCCTTCTCTATTGAACAGCAAGACACGGTACTAATAAGAAGAATTTTTAGCTCTGCCTTAAAATGAACCGTGTGTAGGAAAACTAGATGAGGAAGATAATAGAAAAAAATGTTTGTCTCTCTCTTTTCTGTCTCTGTCTCTCTCTCTCTCTGTCTGTGTCTGTCTGTCTCTTTCTCCTTCTCCGTCTCCTTCTCTTTCTCTCCTTTCCCTCCCTCCCTCTCTCTCTCTCTATCTCTTTCTCTCTCTCTCTCTCTCTCTCATTCTCTCTCTCTCTCTCTCTCCCTCCGTCCCTCCCTTTCCCTCTTTCTCTTTCTCTCTCCCTCTCCCTTTCCCTCCCCCTCTCCCCCTCTCTCCCTTTCCCTCTCCCTCTCTCTCCCTTTCATTTTCCCTCTTCCTTTACGTTCTCTATTTCATCATCCAGATACAAAACCCAACGAAAAACCACGTGCGAAAGACCCAGTCGACCGTTTGATGGAGAAAGCCGCCAGTTTCTACAACTTAACAACACAAAAGTCCGCTGTCTTTATGCTAGCTGTCCAGAATCCATTGCAGGTGATTATCCAGTTATTTGGATGTCTTTTAACAGCATCAAATCACTTTATATATTGGGGTTTGTGTATTAGGAAGTTAAACCTGTACGTAAAATAATGGCTTATGTATGGAAGACTGGGATTCGTGCATTATGGGAATATGGATCAGAAACGGAAAATAGTTGCCATATATATTCTCCTTTTCTGTTGCAGGTGAAAATATGGAGAAGTGACACCTTACATGACAAGATGCCTGAAGAAACACTGGAAAATGCAACGATTTATGCAACACAGATGTATGCAAGTTATACGGACTTCCCTTCTGCGGTTAATGTGTTTGTCACGGAACTGTGTAAGGTTAGGAAGATTTTTTTTATTTTGCCGTTGAATTTTCCGTGTATTTTGTTCCTTTTTTTTTTTTTTGGTTCGTGTGTGTGTGTGTATGTTTTTTTTTTTGTGTGTGTGAGATAGAGAGAGAGAGAGAGAGAGAGAGAGAGAGAGAGAGAGAGAGAGAGAGAGAGAGAGAGAGAGAGAGAGAGAGAGAGAGAGAGAGACAGAGAGAGACAGAGAGAGAGAGACAGACAGAGACAGAGATAGAGACAGAGAGACAGGCAGACAGACAGAAACTGATACAATATACATTACTGAAAACACCAAAACGTGTAATACCAAAGACGTTTATTTTGCAGAGTCTCAGGGACGATGAGAAAAGCAGAAAATGGGGAGACGCCACAGACATTTTGTTGATCCTTTTTGTTGGATTCTATATCAGCATTGTCATTACTCTGAGTAAGTTGAAGTATTTGTGCCATTAATGGAAAAACTTACAGAAACCATCCGCTGTATACGTTGATGTTATATATATATGATATTTATACATAGATTCAAAGTGCATTCCATCGTCCTCATACAAACGTACCTGTATTACCCATCTTCTGAAACACGCACACCTCTCTCAATAAATAAAACAGTAACGAATAAATAATTTCTTAAATACACACACATTAATCAATAAACAACTAAACTAACTCAAATATTAATCCCACAAAGCCGTTCTGATGATTCGCGCCTTCCGTACGCGCCAGCTGGACACCTCGAGCGAAGCCGGCGACCTACGCAGTGCCCCCGGACGCCACCTGCAGCAGAACCCTCTCTCCCTCGAACTGCATGAGTACGGTGCCATGGCGACCTACACCTCCACGGGGCATATCCTACTGAGCACTACGGATGTCGCGGCTGTCAACACGGCTTGTGCCTCTACCGAGCATCTTTTGGATACTTAGATCGTGTGCGGTTGTTTAAATAGTTGAGGGAGGAGGCTTTTTTGAGTTTAAGGGATTGTTGAGTTAAGCTGGGCGGGTTTGGGTGTAGAATGGTTAGTGTTTCGTGTGATGGGATAATGGTATAAACACGAAGTGTATGTGGAACTTATATTTAAGTATTCCGTACTGTGCGATGCGACGCAAGTTTGTACATATTTTGGAATGAACACTCAGTTCTTTTACTGTGGTAAAATGCCATATGGTAAGGTTTATAATTCCTGCGAACGAATTATGTAGAAATGACAACACAATACCCACTTTCTCCTTTCATATTTTGATTGCAAAAGCATGTAATTACTTGTATACGAGATGTAATTCATAACTAGGACCATCTCTGCATTCGCGGGTTTTAACGCCTATACCTGTAATATTGGAATTGCTACCTGTAATTTCAGAGCTATCTAAGTGATGGATAGTTACTTTTTGAACTTGTAATTACATGGATGTTAATAATGTATCCTTTTTTAGGTTTTAAGGCAGTCTTTAGTCATTGTGTATAGTGGCTTCGATGTACTCTGTTGTATAAATAAATTTTATATGATTTTTTTTCCCGTATTATTTTTTCCATAGAGAACTCCAGTATTCAATTTTAAAGGGATGATCCAGTGTGTGTGTGTGTGTGTGTGTGTGTGTGTGTGTGTGTGTGTGTGTGTGTGTGTGTGTGTGTGTGTGTGTGTGTGTGTGTGTGTGTGTGTGTGTGTGTGTGTGTGCGTGCGTTATAAAATTTTTAAAAGTGGCCATTGAAGTCATATGCTATCAAAAACGAACCTGACTTTATAATTACAATCTTGGTGGTATTTTAAATAATTTTTAAAAAGTCCTGTGCTAAAGCATCAAATCCCTCGGTATCATGAACCCATGGTAATAAACCCGTCAATCTTTTTAGCACGTCTTCTCGGTAAAACTTATAATCGTTACTCTAATAAAAGAAATATAAAATATATATATGAGCAGCCCGCTCAGCAAGTGGCCAGGTAATCTCAGATCCTGATGGGGTGCGTGTGCGTTGGGCTGAGTATTTTGAGCTGCTGTATCAGGTTGATCCACCAACAGTTAACTTGGAAGCTGGTAATGTTGAGACTCCTCTGCCAGACCCACCCATCAGCGAGGATCCACCCTCCCTGACTGAAGTCAAGGGGGCGATCTCCAAACTGAAGAGTGGTAAAGCAGCAGGTGTTTGTGCCATCCCAGCTGAATTGTTAAAGGCTGGTGGAGAACCTATGGCAAGGGGCTTGCATGCAGTCCTGTCTGCCATCTGCCAGACCGGTACCATTCCCCCTGACCTGCTGAGGGGTGTGGTCATCCCTCTCTGGAAGGGGAAAGGGGATTGGTGGGACTGCAGCAATCACCGAGGCATTACTGCTCAGTGTACCAGGCAAGGTACTTGCCCACATCTTACTGAGACGTATCAGAGACCACCTCCTGAGGCACCAAAGACCGGAGCAATCTGGGTTCACTCCTGGTAAGTCCACAATAGACCGCATCCTGGCGCTTCGAGTCATTGTAGAGCGCCGTCGTGAGTTCGGACGTGGGCTGCTCGCAGCCAACATCGACCTCAAGAAGGCGTTTGATACGGTGCATCGCGAATCACTCTGGGAGATCCTGAGACTGAGAGGAATTCCAATTGTTGGGCTAATAGCAAACCTGTATACAGGCACTGAAAGTGCTGTAAAGTGTGGTGGGGGCCTGTCGAGCTTCTTTCCTGTTAGTTCAGGCGTGAGGCAAGGCTGTGTTCTTGCACCAACACTTTTCAATACTTGCATGGATTAGATACTGGGTAGAGCTACTGTCCAAAGTCACTGTGGAGCAACTCTGGGCAATATCAAGGTTACAGACCTTGACTTTGCTGATGATGTTGCTATTCTTTCTGAATCTCTGGAAACCCTAGTGGCGGCTCTTGATGCATTTAGCAATGAAGCAAAGCCCCTGGGGCTAGAGGTCTCCTGGACCAAGACCAAGATCCAGGATTTTGGGGGCCTACTAGGAGACCCTGTGCAGTCGGTACGTGCTTGCGGTGAAAACATCGAAGTCACACGGAGTTTTATATACCTCGGTAGTGCAGTTCATGACTCTGGGCTGTCAGACCAAGAAGTCAGTAGACGGATTGGCCTGGCAGCAGGGGTCATGAAATCTCTTGACAAGAGTATTAGGAGATGCCGGTACCTGTGCAGAAGGACCAAGCTACGAGTTTTCAAGGCCCTGATACTGCCAGTTTTACTATATGGTAGTGAAACTTGGACGCTATCTTGTGCTTTGGAATCTCATCTCATGCCTTTTGTAACAGATCCTTGCGCCGGATCATGGGGTACAGTTGGCGGGATCATGTGTCCAAACAACAGCTACACCGTGAGACCAGCACAGGACCTGTTACTTGCACAATCCGTGATCACCAACTCAGGCTATATGGCCACTTGGCTCGACTCCCGCAGGATGATCCTGCCCATCAGGTTGTCTCTGTCCGAGACAACCCTGGGTGGAGGAGGCCTGTGGGACAACCGAGAAGGTCATGGCTTGGGCAGATCGATCAAACCTGTCGTGAGGAACTAGAGATGGGCCGGGCCCCTGCCTGGCGGCTCGCCATGAGAGACCCTCGCAGGTGGAAGCGAAGGGTGGACGCGGCTATGCGCCCCTACCGGCGTTAGCTCCCCAATGATGATGCGGCTATGCGCCCCTACCGGCGTTAGCTCCCCAATGATGATGATGATGATATATACATATATACATATATATGCATATATGTATATATATATATATGTATATACATATGTATACATGTATATATATACTCATATATGTATATACATGTGTATATGTAACATGTGTATGTATATGTATGTATGTATATATATACATATTTGTATATATAGCTATAGGAACAGAATCATAAAATACATAATAAAGCATAAAATTTTATTGATTATATACATGTAAATATTACTGCATCCATGAATCTAAGTTCACTGCAGCAAAAACACAGCCAGCCAAATTAATAACAATACAACGTGCAAGACCAACCATTTACAAGACACATATTTTAGAATCAAGTAGTGTTTTGAAGAATGCTCAATCTGTCACTTTAAAGAATAACAAACGGGGAAAAAACTCAATTACTCCAAATAATGCATGAACAAATATATATTTTAAATTCACATCATCATATATGCTACACATACAACAGCATTTAAATTCTGAAAGCCCAAAACTTCACTTTTTTTTATCCGACATTTCTTGATTCTGACTAGACTAATGATGCATTTCCTTTGCCAAATACATCTTTCAGTACATCTCCAGTATTTTGGCACTTTGAACAACACGAAATGTCTTCTACCATAAATTCTTTGACCTTGTGACAATACACTTTCCTTCATGCTAGTTTGTAGTTCACAGTATTGAGCTTTCTCATTCAACCCGCTGAAGATCTTGTGAAAAAATAGAGCTAATATTTTTTTTTTTTTTTTTTTCTCTCTGATAGCCACTTTCAACTAAATTCTAAGAAAAGGACAGAGAGAGAGAGAGAGAGAGGAACAAGTAAAGAGTATATGTAATACAAGTACAGTATGCCTATGTATTTATGCATATATAAACTGTATACATATCTATATTCATCTATCTATCTATATTTACGTACAATCACGGGTGGGCAGAAAAAAAACAATGAATACCCAAATCATTTCACAGATCATTTGATAATCATCTAATAAAAAGAAAACAACTTCAGTACAAGCTCCAATTCATAAATCTTCTGATATGTACTTCCATATGTTACCATCTCACAGTATTTCATTCTCCCTGTCCTGTAAACCCATCCTTTGCCATTCTAGAAGGTACAGCCCCCTCCAGTTTAAATTTCACCCTTCAGCCAATGTGTAAACCACCAGTTTTTATTCTTGTCTCCACAATATATACCAAAATAAGTATGGGGCATGTGTTTCTAAATAAAGAGTTGAAAATGGCAATTCACCCACTGGAAAAGCAGGGTTTAGTGAACTTGTACTAAGACTGCACATATGGGGAATCACTCCAAGAAGGGCAAACCATCTCTGGAATTATACTTTCTTGAATCCTTGATGAAACACACAAGCATATAAGTTGATGAAATATCTATGCGAAGCAAATAAAAGTACTGTACTTTTTATCTAAAATAACTACTAAACATATTGCATAATGTGGCACCCAGTCATTTTGACATAAGAACATCCCTGATATACCTGTATTAACTGCTGAATTCTTGGTATATCTCCATTAATTAAAGACTCCCTGATATATTTCACTTACTGTACTTCTTTTCTTTTTTAACCCAAAGCTGACCTGAATGGCATGTAATGTACATGTCATGCCTACTGTGAGTTTACTCTATTGTCTTTACACATAGATGTACTACACTTGTACTGAATCACCAATGAACCAATTAACATCACTAACTGTTTTGCCTGTTTACTCTTTTCATTGATTTCCAAAAATTACGTTATCTTATATTGCTTTTATCAATGTCAATAGCATTATAGTAATTATAATGCCTGTAACAAATATAACACCATCGATATTTATAGAATTAGTAAAAAAAAAATAATAATAATAATAATAATTCCTGCAAATTCAAGGAAAGGTGAAATCAGGTAAGGTCACAAGGTCTATTAATTGACTCCTTTGTGACTAAGCACTTGCAGTGTCATCTATGTGCAGATACATTTCACAAAAAAATAAAAAATGAGCACAGCATTTTCCTGCTGACACTGAGTTAATCATAAAGAATCTTAAAACTTATCAAACTATAATACTTCTCTGAATGCATATAACCCATTCCTGTTAACCTTATGGCAGTAAAATAAAGTCAGTTTCCCAGGTAAGCTAAAATTAAAATGGAATGCCGAAGGAGTTCCATGCAAACTAGGATGAGGCACTTGGGATTCTCTGAGAGAACTAATCAAGAAATATAATACAAATACATAAACCAAACTCATAATTACATACATAGATACCTACACACACCCACACCCACACCCACAGAGGATCCTCCTAGTTCACACGCGCGCACAAAAAGTATCTGATCTCAAC